AAGTAGTGCTCCTTCCTGCGAAATCCGAAAACAAGGTGACTATAAGATTACCAGAAAGTAAGCTGACCTTGGCAAGGAAGATCTCCGTACACTCGTTCCATAATTCTAGAGTTTATCGTGCCGCTGAGATCCGTTAGGTGCTCTTTCTCAAAATATTCCTCTAAACTGAAATCCATACAACTCAATAGGCGTTTGTCCTGAAATCACGTTATCTAACATAACATCGACGAAGTAACCAGGAGGCTCTCCCAGTAGGACACCTTACCCCGAAGAAGCTGTCCCCTCTGTTTGGGAGTTTATTTGATTCTTCCCTTATGTGCAATCGTACATGAGAGGACACTTCATCACGCATACGGTTAGCATCGTGAATCATCGACGGCGTCCAGTCGCAAACAAGGCACGTGATTATACTAAAAGCAAATTGAAAAACGAAATCGATTAAGAACAGCATGGAGGTTGAAGCATCCGGCGCTGATCAATCCTTCTCCAGTCTTTCATGAGCATTTCGCTTTCATTCAGGGTCCCAGTAGATTTTGAAGGCGACTTGAGCTATACCTAAAAGACCTACGGGCCCAAAAAGTTGATGACTCTATCCTTTGAACTAACCGACGCGAGACGTATGGTAGCCTTACTTGGCCTGAGCATGGACTGATCGGGATTCTAGCGCCATCTTCTCCCAGGCCATTTCTTACGTTGAGGGAAGTATGGTTGCAAGAGGTAATGGGGGAGGGAGTTCACTCTAAATAGGGGGTCTCATTCTGGTAAGACCTGTAAGGCCTTGTGAAGCTGTAAAATGGTACAAGTCAGCTACCTCGGGGAAAGGGGAAGGGAAGTGTTTGCCTCTAAGAAAAAAAGGTTTTTCAATAGCTGACTTTTCTTGATTTTTCCTGTTTCACGTGTACTGTCTACCTCTGCCCCTAAGGCTTTTTTGAGGAAAAACTATGTCGAAAAGGTAGGAAAGTGGGAAAATTAAGGAAGTTGGTAAAGATGCTGGGCGAGGTAGGGAAGGGGGAGGAGTAATGCTAGAAGAGGATATTCTGAGGGGAGGAGTCGTAATTTGCAAAAAATTCTCCCAGTGGCATGGCAAGCCCTGTTGCTGCGCTCCCCCACAGACCTGTGAGCAGCGCCGTTTGCCACTACATCTTCTCCGCCCTAGCTCATCATAAGCACAGCGGCAAAGAAAGCAGAGATACCTGACGCCTGCCATTTGCTTTCGAGGAGGTGACGTTTCTTGACTCGCTTTCCCAGAACGCCTAATCCTTTCCGAATCCATTGAAATGTCGCCCTCATTGTCTGCGTTATTCCCATTTGTGTTTTCCTGCTCCTGCAATCCTGTCGTGACAAGGCTCATTAATTCACACTAAAAGACTTTTATGGAACCTGTGCGGTATTCGAATGTGACGGCTCTGTTGCTTGGGAGACGTTGGTCTCCATGTCCACTACTGCTGACGTCGGATTCCCACTGCTCGAGTTCTGAACACGAACCACTGAATGTAAGGGGAAAAGTAAACAGTCATATAAGCAAAAAATTCACCTCGTTATTTCCTGAGTCGTTTTCAGTAGTTTCATTCTGAAGACCTTCCTCACCATTTGGACAATTTGGAGAGTATTTGTGCTCCATTCCACTATCACCGCCACCGGTGAACTCGACCCGCTTCTCTCTTCACCATCACTCTATAAAGCTGAAGGGAACCTGGGGTACTACAGTGGCACAGAAGCAGAACAATGTTCCTAAATAACCTCTCAGTCAATCTCAGAAAAAGCAGCGTTCAAGACAGTTCCAAATTCAAAACCGTCGTCTTTTAAGGCTATCTTCATACTGCGACGAAAAAAAAAAAAAGATGGAGGAACGTCATCGATGAAAAAGTTAGGCTGGGTTCCTTTTCGCGGCAACTTGAGCGTTTTGGAAAAAAAAGCCAGCCGTTTGAGTGAAAAGGAAAGTATTGGGATCGATTCAACATTTCGAGCGTTTCTCTTTCGAATCGCAGAACGCTGGATCGACACCTATGCTTTCCTTTTCGCTCGAAACGCTCAAAACCCTAGATCGATACCTTTAGCCCAAAACCCTCAAGTGCTGAACCCTCAGAAAAGAAATGCATAGACTCCGCTTCTTTCCGCTATATGACCAGACCGTAAGGATTCTAGTCGGTATGCAATAATCTAGCCACCACAATTAGTCTTCGAGGGGACCACTCAGTCGCACGGTCACGTGCCCTTCTCTCTTGTAACTAGGCTGACGCCAGAAGTACCCCCTACTACTTGACCCGAACGCCAGCATTTCAACAAGGGACAAAACGCAGCCCATTACTGTCTACTGGACCATTTCTCCGAAGATGTTTAACGTTTGGAAATAAGGGGCCCTGACGACCCTTGAAAAATCCGTTGGGTCGGAATCTTGTTTGTAGCACGAGCAGCTGAATGCTTGAGAAGAAAGCCATAGCAACTCACGAGAACGATGGTATGCCGGTCATCATCCCCATCTGCGCCACCGGTTTGCTCAGAGCTCCTACAAAGGTGTGTAGTGAAAAATCGGAAAAAGAAAGAAAATCATGAAAAACTTCTTGGACATATGGAAGATGAGGTGCAACTCTGATCCCTGCAGTGTACCTTTGATTTGAC